CTTCTGCTATAACGAAGATAGCGGCGCTCTGCCATGTGTCACTTACTCCCGGATTATTGTTTTTATATGCCGACTCATGTATGCTACATATAACAACGCAGTAATGAGCATTCGTTACCGAAAAGGCGGACAACCATCGTGGAAAAGGGTACTGATAAGTGAGGCTAGAGGCAGTCTGTTAGACGGCAAGCAAGCAATCTTTATTAAATATCCACTGTAGACATGTTTGTCTTTGGAACACTGTTGACGATGAAGAAGGTAGTCTAATGGAAAGTGACGGGCGAGGGGATAAAAAAATGATCACAAAAAAGACAGCTAGAATCAATTCATATCAAGGTACAATTAATTAGCGTATATATACAGCACATCGAATACACAAGAGTTCATATACAACAGTAGGGAAACATCATACATATGTATCAAAATTAATTTGACGTTAGCTACCACTCAAAAAGTTCGGACTAACTTAAACCGTCATGAAATTCTAAGTCGTAGTTTATTTGAGATTAACTATATACAAACATGATCAGTACCTTCATGAATAATTCAAGGGTACTCTTTATATACATATATATATCAATGCGAGTATCTACGTTCTATAGAGAAATTCAACATCGGTTTGCGACAAAGTACCTAGTACATTTTTAGAATGGTAAATATGTTCCGTGAGTCGTCAAACGAAATTGGCTTGCCGTTATTTAAGAGAAAAACACGTCCAATGGAACAGGGTACACAAGACGCAAACAACCTGTATACGTGGAGAGTTACCTATAGTGGGTCGATCGGCAACGATGCACAATTTCTATTAATATAACTTTCAACAATTTTCAAGCAGCAATTAAGCATTGGCCAATGCAACCGATGTTATGTCTCGTTGTCAGATCGTCTTGCTTGTGGTCCACAACATGTTGTTCCCGTCTACGCATCACCACAGTCGCTGTTGCGGAAATTGCTGACAAGTTTCAATATGCTAATCTTCGCTGAGGACCAGATAATAAGCCTGGTACTTACCTAGAAAGGCAGCGATCGATAACCCTGTAGCCTCTCGGTGACAAAAGACGCAATCGAATAGTTGGTAACAGTCAACTATCCTTTTTGCAGAATGTTCATTAATCTGACGTGAACCAAATATGTTATTCTACGTAACACGTTAACCTGCCCCAGAGCAATTGCATTAATCTCTCTCTATTTACATGACAATAAAGCTAAACATTGCACAGGTGAGTAAGAGCTTCGTGGAGGAAAAAACACGTCACAACTGTGTTTTATACAGAACCATTGCTGACTTTTCTATCACTTTTATTATAGTTTAACCGCTCGACTATCAGCAGTCAGTCAAAAAGCGGTAGGGCCTGACGTAATAGCGGAAGCAAAGACCATCCTTACGTGCGCTTGAAATCCCTGTTCCCTTAATATCGTTTCACTAGACATCATCTTCGACGAATTGTTAAGACCGGTAGAAAGCTTTACAAAGAAAGAACCGTTACGAAGTTGCCCCAAGGGCAAGTTGGCCAAAGAATGAAAAAAAATTGGTAAGAGGCAATACATATAGTAAAAGCCCGATCGGCTTATTGATGGCCTTATTGCTTCGAGAAGGCAGTGAACCACGAACCATTTATATATATATATATATATTGTAGGCATAACACGACAGAAGCCATAACGTAATATGTGCAAAAATAGTAACTTATTTAATAGTGATATACCACACTACAATGATAGAATTAATATCGTATATATATATACATCGGAAGCGCCCTTAATACGAGAACTATTGTAAAGTTAATGGTGAAGTACATGTTCATGTATGGCCATTACGAATTTAACACAACTGAATGACTAGGTAATAAAATATTAGCGTGTTCTAATAACACACTACGAGGTAGAGTAAAATTAAAGGAATAAAGGACTTGAATTTTCAACATTTCCTGTGTATATGATCCAGTAGGTGCACAGTATTCAGAACGCCTGTAGTTATCTGTCTCGAGGACTTCTTCGAGGGCTCAAAGACGGCCACGGTGGCATTAAAAAAAATTCAGATCGTGGTAACAGAAAACACTGGTGGGTTTTCGATAGGTGAAATAAGGAACTTGGCCAATATGGGTTTTGCGATTTACCAATAAAAGTTCAATATAATTTGCAGCCCAGAAAAGACAGAACGGGAATGGTGCAGTACAAAGGGAAAAACAGAGCTAATTTTTCTATCTTATAATTTTAATATATATATATATATATATATAATAATAATCTTAATAAATTTCATAGTGATGATTTAATTCGAACTACAACGGTTCCGTTGTATTTCATTGAGTGAAGAGACACCATAACTACCGTACGGAGCATGTTTATGCAATACTATGCGAAATAAATAGAACCGTGTTTGCAAGAAAATCAGAATTTAGGGTATGGTGTAGTAAACAATTGGGATTTCTTTCCGCAGGTTTCTTTTGTCCAGGTTTATCATTCCAAGATTTACGAAAAGTAGGCTAACAGCCAGGCATCAACATCAGCAGCAAGAGACCTGCAGCGTGCGTCCCGGTCAACTCTGCTAAACCTCGGGGGTCGCCAGAAAAAAAGAACCGCTGAGGACAGTTATGCGCAGATGCAGATTTGTGGGCTGATTCGTAGCGGTTGCGTACAACCTAAGGGCATCTGATTATTTTTCTAGAGATTCCCCTACCATTGCCCGATTCATACGGCGATGAGTAGACCGGCCAATCTTGCCTGTTCGAGCTGATGGATGACTAGCTAAAGACGACTATGACACGGATAGAGAATGCTAACGAGTATAAAAGAAAAGGCAGTACAATATTCAATTACGTGTAACGTAGGGACAACCTGCTGCTCTGAACCTACTTGTAGGATTAGGGTGTTAGCGAAGCTTGAGAAAACCTTGTGAGACGCGTCGCGTGGACTTTAATACGCTTTACCTCCCACCGTCTGCAATAATCCTGCTTCCTACTAACGTTTTCTTATAATGCCGTTAACCGCCTGCTGATTATCAGGCCGTTGAGCGAAATATCGGTCACATGTCTCACCGGTAAAGGATATACATTGTAAAAAAACAGACAATGCTCGTTGTAAGATAATATTGCCTATTGGGGAAAGCGAATTAGTTATATCGGGCCCTAGTAATGCGGGCGACTAGTAACATTAGTCGATAGTAGTATAAATAAAATGGTTGAATATACCAAAAATTGACATTACGAGCATGGGTTGACTACATAGTCCCACTTAACGTTGACGATCTTGTTAGCTATAGAGAATAGGATGTGTTTCACATTGGCTTGAAATCATAACTTCATGACTCGATTGAAGCGTGTAGGAACGTACAAGAGGCATCGACAGTGTCTACGTCGAAGTAGGTCATTATCATTGGCTTCGTAAACTAAACTCGAAAGTGAGTTCATACCGTACGGTCTCTGGTAGCACACTTCAATAAAATAATCCTAAATTTATGCTAATAGAAATTAGATAAAACCGTTTTGATACGAACATTTGCCCCTAAAGAGAGCCTATAAATTCTGTCTCGCCTTATTTAGCCATCAGTAGGACGCTGACATGTGCCTCGTATGGGAACTATGAACGTGAATTAAGTAAACCATTGATTTGAATCTTACGACGCATATATTTGTCTCTCGTTATTTGCCTTAGGAATGGACATGACCAATCAACCTTCCCGATGCGAGTACGCTCAGCCATGACTTTCGTTTTTCTCTATTGGATGACATCGTTTAGTATGCGTATTTTTCATTTCTTGCAGCTTATCAGTGCATCGGCCACGGGCCAGTACACATGTGCGTTAACCTCCTAATTAACCACAGGAATCTGAAAAGAACCCCTTAACTCCTTTGAAACATGGAACATATTTTTTGCAATAACATTCTAAGCATATTACCCATTGTAAAATTTCATATTGTACGGAACAGGGTTGTCTTGGTCATAGCAAACTCGCCAGCGAAGTTGTCCCATACGTTGACAGCGTGCTAAAAGCAAATCAAAATGTATAAGCTTCTATTTTTGAGTAAGTTGTGTTCGAAAATATAAACACAATAATATCTTAGATTTAGGCTTTTGGAGGTTTATTTATTTGTAAAGCAACTGCACATCAGGTAACTTGCATCGGAGCAATGAAGAGCAATCGAGGAAAAATAACTTTATTTAAAGTGAGCGTGTCTTTCACGTTATATGAACATCAAAACCCGTACCTCAATCAACGTTTCGTCATTTTTGTTCGAACCATGCCTCAAATATACAACATTCGTACCAACCTAACCTAGTCAACTTGTGCAAAATAGGAAGGTGAACATTATAGCTCATTACGACATGCACGTACCAAAGCATTGTGCGGCTCTTTATTTAGCATAAGTTTTCAACACTCTATACAGTTTTAAGAATAACGAGGTTATCTATCGATGGTAGTCGAGTTGACCGTGAGCATACCTATCATTAAAGGTCTTTGTGGTATTTTACTGTGGTGACCTGCGAAGTTTCCTGACAATGTCTTGGAACACCGGGGACACAACAAAGGCAAATAAAATACCTGTTGAAATGGAACACGGGTGCTTTCAAAAATACAAGTCAATGATTCTTTCAAAAAAAAACTGACTTACAACCGGCCTAAAAGCGCCATATGGCTAAATGTGGCAAACAGGAAGTCATATAATAAACCACATTCCAAACTCGACATTTTTAATATCGTTGGAACATCGATTTGTATACAACAAGAAGCTGAAGCCTATTTATTGCCCCTAACAGCCCCGTACGGCTGGTGACCGTCGATAGGCGTATTACCGATACGGTTTTTAAATCACGTCCTGCACCGCGTGCCGTTTGGATCTTTTTAGTAGGCAAGCCACGTCAGAGATCATATCACGCTTCTACGGCTCATTGAAATCTAGTCAACCGTGAGCGAGGTAAGAGGAGCTCAATGGTGCCCCTTCAATGAGAAGCTAGAATACCTGAAACTACGCAAAACTAGGAAACCGATTCTACCTACACATCGGGTCACTCGCTTTTATGTTGGTACGTTATATTCATTTTACCTTCTTTCTAAAGCGACAATTTATCAGATGTGTTCATAGTGAAGTTGTCGAGGACGTGTCGAAAGTACTCTGCGTTTCAGAAGGTTCTCTTTTTATTTTTGGCCACGCATATGAAAATGCGTGGACAAACCTGTGAAGTATAAAACCTAAAATCTTGATTTCAAGATGATACGTTAACGTTCCGCTAAAGCAAATACCATTCTAAACTAGAAAAACCTTAATACTACATACTAAATCAAGGAAAACACTAAATAAATGTATACGTACAAAAATACCTTGTTTTCAATATGTTACACGTAAGCGTATTACAATATATGTACACACCAGCATTTATGCTCTTTGTTGTGGTTCACACCTTTTTTTTTCGTAGCGTGAATAATGTACCTTTGAGTTCCCCACTACCCTTCTGTTATATATATATATATATATATATATATATATATATATATATATATATATATCTAAATTAAGTTCAAAGTGCGCGTATGGTCAGCGTATGCCTTTCTGTGCCTTCTTGTTTGCGAGTGTTTTGAGCGTTTTTTGGTGTATACATTGTAGGGAGCGTTCTACTAATGCTAACTCACTATGGGGCAGTTAGTTAATCTTTCATAATTAGTGGTTTTCTCTCATTTATTCTATCCCCCATTTTCGTTACCTATAACGTATACACATGCGACAGCAAAAAACTGATTTCATACGTGAAGGACACCAGGCCGCACTTCTGCCAAACCTGTCTTTCAGTTTTCTGGCTCTAGAGAACATGTTTCTAGCCGTACTCTTACAGATTTGGACGAATTGTCTGACATGCCCTTGTGGCATTTGTATTTTTCATCCTTCTGTACATGCATTACAATAAAAAAAGATACCGTGTCTAGTGATCGTTTATCCTAGCAAGAAAACACCTGCTAAGGTTTGTTCGAATGATCATTGTTTTCTTTTTTTTAGTCTTAAGAGCTTATTCAAAATAATAACAAAATGGTGGGCCTTGCTCGCCGTGTGCAGCTGCTGGTTGGCTATGGCTGTTTCGCAGCAGTGGTGGTAAAAATTCCCGATCCACTGCGGTGCCGGGACCAAATCGGCCAGTTGAGAGACCCGCTGTCTGCGATGTTTGCGGAAGCCGTGGAGCAGTGGTTGATTTAACGGTGAGTCCCGATGGTTGTTGTCGGGGTACGCTTGAGTAACCTGTAGCCGCAGCAGCTACAGCCAAGGAATTGTACGAGGGCTCCGGCGAACTCCGGCACAGATCAAGAAGGTCCGGACTGGCTAAGCCCTGTTGAGGAAGAAAGCGTAGGGGTTGAGGATGTAGAGCGCCTGGTCTCCTCTGTCCTGCTCCAACCCCGATTCCAAACCCAATACTGCTACCACCGCCGTCCGATAGTTGGCAAATATAGACGCCGTTGTTGGTTATCTCCGCTTGATTAGCGGCGGCAGCTGCGGCAGCCGAGGCCGTTTGCAGATTCTGGTCGGTGGACGGGAGCCGGGTCTGAGCGAAAAGACACTCGACCTTTTCAGTTTCCGCAGTCTGTAGCCACTCGGAGCCGCCCAACTGTTTGCTAGGCGAAGAACTCTTTGGGCTCAGTCGACTTCGGCAGGATAGCGAGAAGGCGCCTACCTTGCTACGATTTCGGAGGTAACACGTGGTGGTAGAAAGCAGTGCAACTGCCAGCAGGATGCCGACGGTGGCCCGAAGTATACTTACACGAACCGCGTATGGCCAGTATGAACACTCCAACGATTCCTCCGATTCTACCGCGTCTAGATAGTTACCTGTGTAAGGAAATATTGAGAATATACATGATATTTTGCTTCAGTGTTCCAACATGTGTGCCTTACTGGACCCTAAACAGGACCGCTGACAATCCGATGTGATGATATGGGCAGAAGGACAGAAATGAAATAACTTAGTTTTGACATTTGATCGCTGCTGGTTAGCTTCTAGGCGACGGAGGTATTGGTCAGTTACTTGAAAGTGTTCTGGCATTCAGAAGGCTGTGCTGCCAAAGCACCACGTAAATAGTATGTAAAAACTAAGTTTATTCTTTTAGCCAGCCGCCTTTTAGTCTCAGAACTTGACACTGTTCCATTTTAGATTTAGCCATTCTTTTTTCTAACAGCATACTATCTAATCTGTAATAGATAGGAACGCACCTGCAAGATGTGGCGGAGCATTACATTTAATCTTTGTCGTTTCGTTAGCGAAAAGTGATCCGGGTAGTATTTCGACCGAAGGGGCATTTTTTATAGTGAGGCTAGGACCTGTTCCAGCCAGTCCCTGAGGTTGAATCAGAGACAGGTGCTGCTGCCGTCTGCGTTTGGTCAAGAGCCATCGAAGAGAACAGTTGCAGACAAACGGATTGTCCCTAATGTCAAGCTCAGTCAGATCTTCCCACGCCACTGGAAATAGATCGACCGGCAGTGAGGTTAGGCCATTGGCGCGCAGGTTGACTCTGCGCAACCGAGATAGTGGACGAAATGTTGCCGGGTTCAGCTGAGTGAGGACAACATTGTACGATAGGCTGAGCTGTTCCAGCTGTTGGTTGTCAATGAGAGCGTTTGGCTCAAGCTCTCGCATTTCCGTTGCCCCACTGAGACTGAGCGTACGCAGGTGGCGCAAGTGCTGAAAAGCGCGGTCCCGAAGGCGGCTGATAGGATTCTGGCCAACGTCAATCTCTTCGAGTAGAGGGATGTCCGAGAAGCTGGCCGAAGGAGTGTCTCCAAGCTGGTTATCTTGCAGATGAAGGACCCGCAAGCCACCTAAAGCCCGAAAGGCACCCGCTTGTATGGCCTGTAATTTGCAACCATCGAGACGCAACTCTTCCAACGCTCGTAAAGGCAGAAAGGCTTCTGGGCCTAGCTCACTTATATCGTTTAGTCCTAGATCCAATAGAGCCAAGTCAGCTATATGTCGAAACGTATCGGTTGGAATTGAACTCAATTTATTGTTCCGTATGCTGAGAATACGCAATTTTTTGGCGCCTCGAAACACGTTTGTATCAGAAAAATTCTTGATGAGATTTGAAGATAGATCGAGCCTTTGTAGCTGGGACAATCCGACAAACATGCCATGCGGAATACATTCAATATAATTAGAAGAAAGGTCAAGTTGATTTAGCTGAATGAGACCTTCAAGAGTCGAATTACTTAGCTCACTTATCGTGTTTTCACTAAGGTCGAGCAGTTCGAGAGCGCGTAACGACGCGAATACGCGTCGTCCTAGATCGACCAGTTGATTGTCGGACAAATCCAGATTCCGTAGCTCCCCATAGTGTAAGAACGACGATCCGCTAAGTTGGCGTAAGCGATTGCCGCGTAATGAGAGACTGCGTAATTTTGGATGTAGTGTGTACGGCACCATCTCCAGTGTTGCATTTGAACACTCCACTATAACTTGTTCATCGTTTCGGCACGAGCAACCTTGCGGGCACATGCGCGCTCCATAAACGGGGCTTGTTGCCACCAACGAAATTAATAGGAGGGCAATAGTTACGGCCAGATCCGAACAGCAAACCCAGGTACGAGTCCGCATTGTGAAGTGCGCCGTAGCAGTCGAAGCCGCACTCATCTGCAAGTACAAGATAACGCTGATTAAAATTGTTTAGCTAAAGCATGATAACTTAAGCTTATAGACTTCAATAATACTAACAAAGAAATTCAATGAATTAAGTTAAGTATATAAAAGCATATGACATATGATACAGACGAGCAGCATAGATCGATAAAATATGGTGATTTAAGGTAATGGGGAGAACTTCTATCGTAGCTAAGAGTATATCTTAAATATTTGCCCACTCGACATTTAAGCCGAACGAACATTCCCAACGTTCTTGCTAAATGTAAAAGGACGACGAGTGCGCAAACATCGGACCGAATTTGCGACTAACAGGGTGCTGGCTTATTCCCTTGCAATTTTGACTGTGTATCAGAATGATTTATAGGAAGGTAACGCCGGCGATATAGGCACCTGTGTACACAGTCCTGTAACCAACCATTATTGATTAGTGGCAATGCATACGGAATCATGTCCAACGCACACAACGAGACTGCCTCATTCCAGCAACGACTGCTTCTTAATAGCACACAGAAACAATACAGATATTTCATATACAGCCTCCTAATGAAATTGATTACGTCAGCAAAGCACGCTGTTAATGAGCTACGGACCCCTTCCACGCCCCATTTGGTCAGATATAACCATATATCCCGATCTCTACTTTAGTCCGCAACCCACCTGTTATTATTGAACTTTTAAATAAACCATTATAGAAACTTCTAGGCTAATCAATTTAGCTTTACTGACACAGTAAAAAAAAATGCGAATCGTTACGCCTACTGCGTTTCTGATAAACCAAATTACAGCCTCATACCGGCCTGTAATTAGTACCTGTTTGTGAAAGAGGAATGAGGAAGGATCTTCAATGTCTGGTCTTCTAGATAACGGACTGCAGATAGTATCACGCCTCCTTGGTAAGGCACCTCTCAAATGCAATCAAGTGTTAAACGTGCTCGGGAATACTTTTACCGTATATATTGTACTTTTCACTGCCTAAAACTGTTTGGGTGTGATAGGTCACACGTTCCAGATTTGTCAAATAGTGTACTTTCTAGTAGTTCTCTAATCAACAAGGCTTATTCATGAGCTGTTTATTAGGAACGACATATTGCTTAAACAGAGTCTAACCTCCAAAACTAGCATAAGCTTACTGTAAGCGTGGCACGAAATATTCTAGTATTAAAAAACAAGTTTTGTGTCTTTTTTACGTCTAAATATATATATGTCTAAAAATAACTTTCTATATGTTTATTCTACCTAGGATTAGGAAAGTGTTGGCTAGCTTGCAAGTGATATTTCGCTAATGGTGGATGAGACGATAATTGCTAAGCTGTGCGAAATTTATATATCGTTTTATTACTATTATTATTCTACGCTTGTTCGAAACATCTCAGGACAGCTACCTTTTCTCTAAGGACATCATTGCCTGTGGTGCGATGGAAACCATTTTAAGATCGCACGGGTAGGGAGTGGAAGAAATTTTTGATGGTATAAAAAAGTAGCACGAGAGATAATCTGCCAGACCTAAGTCTAGATATGCTAGTTTTTCAATGTAAAATCAAAATAGCTTAACATGTTAAATGGCAATGAGGTGCTCACATGATTCTAGTAAATATCAACGTTTTCAAAGTGTGATTTTCGATATTAGACCACATCTAGCCATGGGTTCAGAAGGGGGAGGCTAGCTATTTGACCTTGAGCACAAATCCTTTTTCTCACATTCGTCACGGAGCCTATGCTCTGAGAAATCTGGAACATCGAAATAATAGAGACGGTTGACTGGCGTACTTTCGTCAATGGCCGAAAAGCGCTGGAGGGTACAATTTTCCGGGAGCGAAAACAAGAGGGCTGCCTGTTTTTAATAGATCGACACGTTGAATGCCCATTTCGTGTATCGCTCGTGCGTTTCGCTGTAGCTGCTGTTGCTGATTATATAATATTGGTTATCGAAATCATCAGCAGAGCTATTGACGTCGCTAGCTGTCGATCATCGCCGTACCACATCGCGCGTTTGGCAAACATATTGTACATCGCAGCGGCAATCGTCGGAAGCCGTTCAAGTCGGCAACAGCAGTGGTGCGGTGGGTAGCATCTGCTAAAAACGCCATGGAACAATTGTGCGATATCGACCGAATGCGAGGTAAAAATGAATACGTAGAAGGTTCCCCCGTACGAGATTACTCATGTATGTAGTACGTCGTAGGAGAACGAATCTGCCCTGACGAAGGCTGTAAAAGTGTGCGTGCTTGAATGTTTTGAGTACGCTACCGGATCTCATAGAGGTCATAAGGTTATCTTATTATTAACATCACACTAGAGAAGATAGCAGCTTTGAGGTTTTGATGGGTCAGCACATACGTTTGGGTTATGTTAAAGCTTCGTTATGGAAAATTCGATGGCACTATTATTACTGTCGTTGCAAATTTTCCATAAGTAAGCCATAAGCCGTATCGTTTTCGAGTACTGATATTAAGCTGATGTCCAGACGTTTACGCCGAATACCAAGAAAATTCCTATGCATCCAATCTGTGACGTCTGCATACATTGTCTTCATTCCTTTATCGACCAACAGCTATTTCTTCTACCACACAGCACTGCGATTGAAAACATTCTATAGTAATTCCTTTAGTTCTATTTTAGATTCTAGGTTCTAGTTGAGATTTCATTCGATTCAGTATCGTTGTTGTTAAACTGAAGAAGACTAATTATTATCGGCAAGCTTCGCTCTGGAGTGCCACTATAAATATATAGCATGCACCTTTATCGAGAAAATAAAAGTAATATCTCCTGTATCCCACGCATACCTCCATGTGGATGCGTGCAGTTTCTACCTTTCACACATCCGTTAGTGTTTGGGTAACGTTCAAACACTGGGAGCCCTATATCGTTAAACATAAAAATAATCGTCATATTATCCTCGACAGTATGGGGTATGCATCATTGGAAAGTAGCACTATTTTCTACTGCGGGGCTTTGCTTTTTTTGTTCATCTAGCTTCGTTTTGAGCTCTACGCTCAACGGTTTTTGCAAGGACCGCCCCGCCACAACCACCGGCTTCGCTAGAGCCGGTCATGTTACCATGGCCGTTGTCGTCGCTGTTCCCCAACGTCCTACTCTATTTCACTCCGGTACATTCGTTCGTTCGTAATACCTTCGAATCTACGCCACCGTCATTCTTCCCTCTATCATTCTTATCGAACTTCTCATCTTCGCCCTCTTCTTCTAGCATTCGTCGTTATCGCGGCAACGGCGGCAGGCTTTTGTTGGTTGTTTGCGTGCAACATTCCGCTTTTCCGTCAATATAATCACAATCATCATCGGTTGCTGCTCGGTTCCACTTTGCTGTGTAACGCTACTGCCGCTGCGTCTTTTGCTATTCCCACTGAGGTCGCTGCTAGCTCATTGCACATGTAGTTCGTTCCACGTTTCATTGCGTTTTGGCTTGCCTCTCTTCCAGTCGACTATCGACGCCGGCTCTCTCTTTATTTCCAAAAGCCAACGGTAATGGACGCTGCGCGAAAATCGCAATGTCGTTGCTGGACTGCTGCTGCTTGGCCTGTATACAGTGCGTGGAATTCTTCGCTCCCTCTTACTTAACGTGAAGAAGTACCAACAGTTGAGCTTTACCGACGACATTAGCTTATGAACATCTGCCTGTTGTCGGTGGTCGTATACCTTATCCAGTCTCCGGCCTATGCACGCTTCATCCGAACTCCTTTGCCTGTACTAGAACACCCCGTGTTAGTCGGGAGTCAGGCGCAACGCGGGCGGTCGTCTGTCCTCAAAACGTCGATTTTTATATGCGAACAGCGCGCGTCTTCTGCCACACCGGCAACATTTTTAGAGGGTTTGTGAGACGGTGGAGCTGAGAGCAAAAGAAAGAGGGAGAAATGGGATTGCTGTCGCTATTGCTAGTGAATGGAAACAGAAGAAAAACGAAAGAAAAATATGAGTTAGTCAGCTAGCTTAGTCTGCCCGTCTGTCTGCTAGCGTACAAACGCAGCTCTTCTATGCTGGTCGGTTCATAAATAGGCGCATGGGTGGTCGGTACAAAAGAACGTCTCGCCTCAGCTTAACTCAACGCCGTTCAGAGCACGACAGAGAGAGCGGCTGAGTATTCAATTATTTAGCGGCTATACACACAGGAATGCCTGAAAAGTTTTTAATTAGGACGAAAGGTTCTTCTCTATTTTCTCCCCGACTAGGCTCTTTCCTTTGGCGTATTCCGACTGAACAATACGAAACGCGGCAAAGAGTTTTCCCAGTGGTCAGTGATAGCACGAACGGAAGCGGTACAGTGCATAATAACAGAAAAGTAGCAGAAACTAGAAAAGACACTTTTCGTATTTTTTTTTTTACAAAAATAACGTTTTTTCAAGGCTCCGACAAAGGTAATTACTGTTTTTCATGTAATTCATCCCAAACTTGTGCTCACTTTAGGGAACTCGCTTGGTCTACGACAAAGCAATGAAACAAGCTCTTCTAAAATCAATTACAATTTTTGTACCTAAGACGAGCAGAAATTTACGTGCAGGACCGACTAAAAGTTTGGCTAATCATTTTGGTAATTTCTATTGTCTGTAAGCTCAATTTGCGAAGAAAAAATTTATTTTTCTCTAAAAACAAATAGAGCAAGCTTCCTCGGAGAGTCTCTAAAGTCATCGAGGTCTTGATGCGTTTTGTTATCACACTTAAAGCAGATAAGTTTTTTTATATGAATGTATGGTAAAGCAACCTCGGGCATGTGTAATATATAATAATAATAATAGCTTATTAAAAGAGCTTTTATTCCGGGAATCTAAAGAAAGAAATGTTCTAGTCTTACTTTGCTAAATATAGTATTGGGCTGGATCGAATATAATTAATTATTAACCTGTTTGTCACTGAATGATGGGGGTACATGGGGTCTTGCCTATTTGACTACTGACTTTTTCTGGATACAAAACACATTGGTGGTAGTCGTAATAAAGGATAAAATCTAGAAAACAGGTTGTTCTCAAAAAATCTCGTGCAAGGTTTCTTACGACTTGTTATGTATCGATGGTCTCACGAGAGGTGAACTTGTAGGTTGTGCAATGGACGTACGCTGAAGCCTTTATACAACGAGTGAAAAGCATCTGTGACGTTCTATAGCACGTTGCTATTACGTATTGCACGTCCCAGCAACCATACAGATTCATATTGATTGATGGGTTTTTCGAAAATGGCGCGAAGCTCGATAGCAGAAATCAACCCGAAAATTGCTGTTGTTTTCGTCGAACAGATTCCCTTCTCAAAATAATAATTAGATAAACATTTGTTTGATAAATTACTAGATAAAAGGAAAAAGTTTGTCGCCCAAGCGCAGTTATCAATGATGATCACTTACCTCATAACGCGTATAGGCGGCAGCTGTGGAAATTGTTTTCGTTATCCGTTCGAATGTTATTCGCACAAGTTCTGTAAAGTCATATTGCCCTTTGTCTTAATATCCAATATAACGTTATGTTATCATACAAAACAGATGCCCTAGTACACTTTGCGATGCAAAAAGTCGGATTCTAACATTTGCATTAACTAAATTGTACGCACAAAGCTCCTCATTTTTATCGTCCTGCGTAATAGTACGCTGTAGCGAAGGAATGTACTTTCGAGGAGATTTCCAAGTTACCACAACGGCAAACGCTTTGTTTATAGGGGTCGCCAATTTCACGCAGTTTCTAGACGGTCCGTTACTTCCATTCAACGTGTTACCACTCCTCAGATTCCTTCTAGTCTGCTGCGTAAAACCAACCACCAGCTGAGGTCGTCCTGAACCATTTGCTCTTCCCTATATTCCCTCTCTCAATTACCCTTGCCCTAGGAGCATTTGCCCAGCGACACATCCCCTAACACCGATGCAGCCCATTGCCCTTTCCGTCCAATATCCTTAATCCTGCTTCACTCAGGAGTGTATAAGCTTCTTTAGCGCATGCTTTTAAGGTATAGCGGTAAGGGTACAGACGGCACAGGAGAAACGATTGTTTGGTAAAGAAGATATTAAAATTTGACATTATTTTGCAAGCATGTAACTGTTTGTTTTGTTGCAAACTTATCCTGAACAGAAACGATAAACCTACGCTGGACGTTTTTGCCTGGGCAAACATAATCTATGTGTCTGAAGTTGCCTTTAACATGCTATTTTTTTGCGAATTCTAGCAATTAGAGATTTATATTGTTTATAGGGGTATATATATTCTGTATATTAGCATATAGAAATGCGCTTTTTATGTGGAACGTACTAAGAACTGGTCGTTACGATAAAAACGGTTCCAAACGAATTGACGTTAAGACTTATATTAATGATTCTCATAAACAAAAAAATGTGTGATCATTTGTTACAGCCTTGAAAAGCGAAGATTCCGCTTGCACAGGCAGACATCTTTCCAAATAAACTATTAGAACACAAACCATATAGTGTCGGGCAAAAATCCTGCTTCAAAAATGAGTCAAACGTGAACTTCCCTAAACTACACGTAAGTGACCGTTACCCATTGACTTTAAGAACATAGCCCCTACTAAAAGCCCAGGGAGCTAGGCTTATAGAGCCGACGTAAATATGGGTGCGGTCGTGATTGGAGCAGGATGGGAAGGTGATTGCAAATCGCTGTGACAAAAGCGCAGTTGTCTTGAATCCTGTGAGTTCCCAACGAGGACACATAGGTCTTGATAAACATAAAGAGAATTCCTCATCTATATGCATATTGCGCTATCAGCTACTTCAGCTGTCTGCTACAAATCTGCATAAATAAGTCCCGAACCTCGGGAGGAAGAAATGCGAAGTAGGCAGGCCTAGACTGGCTAGCATCAGACAATATGTTCACTAGTTAGTTGTGGCTACGGCACGATCTGCACGATGAGACAATCCATTGGGCTCACCGCCCTGTTGATTCGAGTGAGGAATGGCGCGATGTTATTGTGATATAAAAAGCCTGTCGTAGTGAGAGAACTGCTGATCAATAGGATATCTAAACGCCGTATCAAATTAACATCATTATACAGCACAGCTTGTATATTTTTGGGATCAAAATAAAAGAAATGACATTCACAATAGCTTTCGTTAGTTAAAATAACCTAAGGTACGTATGCAGAATATGGAAGTTAGAGCACAAAAGTTACCAAAAAGCCTGCTGTGACAAATGCCTTTGGTCGAATGCAAGGGGAGCCCTAGGGATACGATTCTTGTATACGTCAGAAGGAAAGACTTGGCTGTCGGTCACAAAAAACAACTACGTGCAGTACACCCATAAATTGACTATATAATTATTTCGCAGTGGTAAAATGGCGCATCGTTAAGGGTGTGCTCGCGCACGTTTGCCATACCTAAAACCTGAAATCAATATCTATCTAAATATTAATGGCTGTCTACAAACGTGAAAGCAGAGTACGAGTCATGCCAGAGTACTTCTGCCTGATTCTCATACTGATGAGCCGATTTAGCAAGTTGATATTAACCCACGTAGAAATAACTGGGTGTTAAACATCAATGCAAGTAGGGCTGTTAGAAACATGTTATGAGTAAGCGCTTTCCTGCCAAAAAAAGGTCCATGACGCTTGTTGATATAAAAAAAAATCTCGTTTTATCTTAATTCCGTTTGAATCGGGCAAGAGAAACAGAAATTGGTAGGCATAACAAGGTACGCCGTTGAACATTTGTCGATAAAGCTGCTACGCATCACAATCCGCGTGTGTCTTAAGAGAATTATGTGTATTTGCGGCAACTTTGTTATTTTTGCAGTTGCAGGTCAGCCCAATTTACTTCCTACAAAGTAACGAAAAAGGTAAGCTATTTGTTAAGCTTTTTTATGCGTTTTCACAAAGCAAAGGTCTCTTTGCTTGAAGTTGAATGATAATTCATTCAACTTTTACATAATGTATACGCTAATTACAATTCGAAAAGACTTAAATTCAAACGTGTGTGAACAATACCCGATAAGAGAGACGTAAAATGTTGGAAACTATTAATTTCCCCTTTCGTTTTTTTGTAATAACTTCACATAATTGTATAAACTGCACAGATACATATATCTACCGAACTGCAAAGAGAGATCTGGACATCTCGACACGTGTGCGATATGAAAATGCTTCGGTGAACAGATATTATCGCGGTTCATATCCGAAAGAACTTTAACTTGGTAAGTGTCTAGGGGTTTCCACCGGACTAGCTTCGTGCTCTCCACGAGCCTTTGATATTAAAATCTCCTCTGCTCAATTCTTTCATCCGTCCATTCTGGCTTTACGCAGATAAAACTCTTAAAGAATTATATATATATAAGTCTGACGGTGATGATATGGTACCTAAGTAATTTCCATATCCCTCAATGCGTTTAAGCAGCTTTGGAGTTGTCCGCACGAGTTCTATCTTTCGCACATACCTTCTTACAGTCACGGGTAGCTTAAAGCCGCGGTTGAGTAGAATTTAAATATTGAGTATGCAGGGCACATTCCGGTCGACGAACACTCGCCTGTACATATGTGCATATTGTACAAAAAAAAAAACCTATGAAACTGCAGTGTACCATTTCTTATTACAAATATATATTTTGATGGCAAACAAATGGCCGTAGTTAAAAGGAACAACAATTCTTTTGAGCCATTATAAAAAAGGAACGTAGCTTTGCAATAGCAATATTTGGTATCAACCAGCCCAGCTAGCATTAGCTATAACGGTACTCCATATAACTATAGCTATAAAAAATAAAGCAGCTAATTAAAATCCAAAATCTAAGTCTATCATCATATATTTTGCAAGTTCTTCTTTATTTAATCACACTTGGCGTGTAGTGTATGTCGTCGTAATACAATTACAATACACAGTACTCCGTTGTTATACGAAGCTTATGGAAGAAGGCTCGTCTAAGATCATAAGAAGCAAGTCTCGGTAACAGCAGTACGCATGTAGATAATTTAGGTTGTGCCATTGCTCGTGTCGAATTGTCTTCGCAGCGTAAAAGAAGCTTCGTAAAATATAGTTTTACTACTAAAATAATAGCGTTCTTGTTGTTCGTCTCCTCCGAGGGCGGCATTGTGTCACCAGGTTGTTGATCCAAATGGTGCCCAGAGAAGGGGGCGGACTTAGTGATCTTTGCATGACAAAAGCTCCCGCTGAAAATGGGCGCGTACTCATGCATGACATAACAAGGCCTAAGTGTGTGAATAGCCCTTAGAAACCATGTTTGCGTACATGGCGAAAAAAGATATCGCAGTTTTTTTTTTTTATTACACCAAATCTAAATAATTTCATACATTACAGTAACGTATATTCGCGTCGCTCTAAATAATCACGATATGTTATATTAACACTAGAAAATCACCTCAGTCACATGATATTTTACTTTCCATAGTGAAATTTCTTTTCTCTCATCTTCCAACTTGGTTTTCGATGTTTACGCTAACAACCGTCTCAAAATTAAATACTACGTTCTTATAATAGGCCTAAAAAGTAGAAGTCCAGTTGAATTTAGGTAAAGCTTGACGAAAGTAGACAGTCACTAGCTTTTTACGTGTCCAATGCAACGAAACTCATTTTGTCAATAGACGTTGTTGATCCACCGGAATATGTCGACGACAGTTAGCTTTACCTCACAGACATCTACGAATGCGGTGAAAATAAAGAACAGGCCATTTGCCTTAATTTGGGGGATTTCCGTAGGTTCAGAGAGAGCACGGATATCACAGGAAGAAGCGACATTGTTTCAAATTGCTGTCTCGCTCGATTTAGATTGTTCCGTTCGACATCATCTTGGACTTACGCCAAAACTGAACATGTCTCGTCGCTGTTTCGTTATATCCTACTTTTTCGATGATAACCTCTCTCCAGAAGCACTTCATCGGAGAATAGCATTTTCGGTTACTTCTTCAATATTAATCAGCCGTTTCTATCGGTTTGGCTTATTATGTTAATGATGAGAATATTTTCTTCGAAGGTAGGGGTCTTTAAATACTTGTGTCTCAATGAGCAAACACCGCGAAATACAGGTTTTATCTTCATCTATTTCTGCCTGATGGCATTACTTTAATTTCAGTTGTATAACTGTTTACTGCTGTTAGCAAGAAATATCAAGTACATGCTATATGCATCTATCCTATGAAGTTAGGAATCTCTGTTGCTGCCATTAGTGTTGAGTTGTTTGATTAGCTTTCAATAGTGACAGCTCTTAAAAATAGAATTGTCTTTGAAGTGGTTAGGTGGGACTTTTACCCAGTACAAAAAGGCTAACAAGGACTCTATCGGCAGCTAGAGGTCCATCAGGCGACTTTCCTGTAGAGGGAGTTTGCGCTGCGACGAATTGTCAACGCATGAAGCCGACCGGCATATGGTAAGTGGGAGTATTGCAAAAAAGAGCTTTGCAACTATGATTATAAGGGTTGTCGTTGTGGTGCCTATTGACTATTTACTGTTGGCAGCATAACAACGTTTTCTGTCAGACTTGCTGATCATGAAGCTTGTTGATCATGACATTTTGCGAAAGGCCAGTTTACTGCCGTCGTTCCTATGCTACAGGGACTGTAGATCTTATTGATTGAAACATGCACCCTATTAAAGAAAGATTATATATATATATATATATACGATGATCACCAGTTCGAGCTTGGAAAACGCGATGGCAACAAAATGTCCTGCCCCCCACCTGGAAACCGTCTATGCAAGTCATCAAAACACGTCCTAGAAGGCGCCTCGATAGAACGGCTAAAACGATCGGAACTACAAGCCAGCAGTGTCATAAAAAATGCTGTATTTCAGTTCGCAAGCTTCTTATCTATTTGCTGATCTCAGACCAGGTGAGATTATGCTTTATAAGAATGCTCTCAAGGCAGATTACTAAAAAGATAAAAAAAAATGACAACAAATGCTGCCATATCTAGGATGCACAAGTCTTCCTCAGGGGTCAAAAAGGGTTGCTTTAAATAAATCCCTAGGACCAAAACTAATATCAATAGTACAATAGAAACGTATTAAGTTCCGCGAAATATAATGTACCTGTCCCTCTAAATAAACAAATGGCGTAAAATGTATTGCAAGTAAAAAAGTACCCCCTTCATGAAGTTGTCTATGTATGCATAACTTAACCAGTGTAACACAGCTGGCGTCAATATATAGCTTTACCCATCACTGCCGCAATCCGCGGAGCGTTGAAATCTGATTAGGAAAATTGCTCTAGCGCGTGTTTTATATTTAATTGTAGCTCAGGACCCGCAAGTGCCTTAACACTATAGTAATCATTTGAAAAATAAAGTTCATAAAGCTACATAAGGTCGCCAGGAACCTTGGAAGCGCCTAAGTGTTTCCCAGACAGAGTCTTCCGTGAGGAAAGGTTAATTAGGCGACTTTTTTAGGAATCCGAACCTTAGTCAGGCCATTACAACATAAATACAAGTTAGATAAGCCGTTTTTGTTTGTGGCTTGCGTTTGTGGATGAAACGCTAGAATTTTTCCGCGAAGCATATTTACACGCTACATATTGGATCCTGCACTAGGACTCGACCACAAACAGGCAGGTATATCTCAGCAGAACGGTTTTCGCATAGGTCGAGCAATGTAGCAATGTGCGTACGCAATCCATGAAATCAATGATGAGGCAGCCTCTAAAATAGGCTACAGCTGCTTTGGTGAAGCCTGCTGCCTGTATTCGATGTTCATCGTGTCATTCGAGCATTTGGTTCCGTCAACTATTACCACTTTGCGTTCGATCAGAGTGTTTTTCTCCCATCAATTTTATGAATTGTACAATTTGAACGGATGGTTCTTCATATGCCACAGCAGGCCTTGAATTGTCATCAACACGTTATAACTAGCAACACCTGCTTGATACACTGAAAAAAGCGTAATATTGCAGGAGGAAACACTCTACCGAAGTTTGTAGAGGTCACAGTCTGGATGAGCTTTTCATTTTGAGAATCAGTATCGTTAGCGCTTAAATTCTATATAATAACCTTGCCATATGCGTTAAAATAACCATAAATAATAATTAAAATATAATTAAAACATAATTAAAATAATAATAATAATAATAAATACCATATGCGTTGCATAAGTACCATAGAAAAATTTTACAACCAAATTTACCTAAATAAAAAGCGAACGACCAACCCAACGCTTCTATTTCACTTCCAATCGACGACATCCTACACGTGGGTTTTTGTGTCACTCATTTTCTAACTAAGCAGAGACCATAGTTTTTGTCCGTACGAAGGTGCCCCACAACTACATTTGATACTTCTGTGTAACTCTAATCTGAAGATTTGATTAATCTTATCCCGTTGTTGTAAATCAGCTAGAGCTGTATGTAATTCATAGAAAAAAAACAATCCGTTATTCATCTGCTACAAGGAAGCAGATAGCTATCGCAAGTTGATGCCTGTAGTCAGGCCCTCTGATGTCATACAACCGCTTCCCGCCTCAGGTACGTCAGATATAAGGTGCTGAATAACTAGCGATGTGGTAAGGACAAAATGTTGATGACTGCTGCCACCATTTCTCCTAGTCTCGTGTCCATAGCCAAATGCACCTTGGTAGTTTGCTAGCTGGGCTGGTTTATGGAGGCTGGTTTGTGCAGACGAGCCCCAGTGTCAACGATTCATTGGATGCCTAGAAGAAAATACCGTTCGCTGCGAAATCGCTTCCACACAGCCCAGCTGTCTCCAATGGGAGTCATTCCGAGCGTTACAACGAATCTTTCCCGAGACCCGTTGGGCCGCATAAGGCCGGAATTGTTGACCTTGTTATTCGATGGCCTTCGCAAATGTGCTTGCACTACCGAAGGATGTAATTTCTTTAACGCCCGTAAAAGCTGGAAGTGGCTTGCAGGAGCCTTCACCGAAAATTATGTCGACTGCCAAAAATGATAATAACCATGCTATTAAGCATGCTCCTGCTAATGGGAGTACACAATATGCATATACTGCTTAGGACATATTTGCCGAATACCCACTCGCACAGTCACTGGAATGTAAATATCTATTCCAACCATAATTGTAAATTATTACCATTTATGTTAGTAAAAGTAGCACGAATAGCCCGATCTGCAAGCTTGAAAATATTCCAGTGTGGACTTGTTTACACTCATAAATATTGGACCTTTTCAACGAAATCTCATTTTACTAAGAAGACGGATTTTTTGTTGTTGTTGACGCATCTCGCACTCGAACGCTGGCCAGCAGTCGGCAGGCCAGCATGGTCGATTGGTGGCACCTGAATTTTTGCTCAGCGTTGAGGTCAAGGATAACGTCTAGAGCGTTTACATTTACAACGTTTATACACAGCGCCAACTGAATATATATAATGATTAGCTGATAGATGCCAGCAAGAAAGCACAAACATAATTTTTTTTACATCTTCGACAGCTCATCGAATTAAGAGCTGGACATCTGGAAATTGCTTTAAGTGACGTCGTATTAACGTCAGCATGACTGCAGAATTCTCTACTCTAGTAGTGTAAACGTCGCCCTTATTTGACGACCACATCTGTAAGGCCAAAAGTACGAAAGAAACCACCATCCGTTACTCATTTGCCTCTTGGAGGTCGAGCGGAAGTTGAACGGACGCATCGTTAGGAGTGGCAAATCAGAGCATTCGGTCGGAGTGAAGTCGGTAGAACGTCAAAGCTTCAATTCGCATAAAACGATGGTAAGAGAAAAGAGGGGTCTAATTCGGTAGAGCTCTTGCAAGCTGACGCTGCCGCCATTGCTGCAACCGTTGCTACTGTTTGTGCTGCTAGCTGAGTTCATTAGCGCACCAAGAAAACGAACCGATTCAGCTTGATTACATTTAATGGGGCCAACCCGCAGATGAGAGCGAAGAAGCGGCTAGAATAAAAAATAGGTGTCTGCCACACGAAGAAGCACTTGCAGTATGGTATGGTCTCGCGCTCCTCTATTTCAGCAGCAAAAAGGGGCATCCAGATACGGCGGCCGCGGTGTTACCAGTAGCTGCAGAGGCTGACAGGGAACAAATACGAGTGTTGCTCTTCGACGCTGGGTGCAAAAAATACGGTAATATTTTTTGATCTGATTTTTCTATCTAACTTTACCGATTATTTATTTTATGTGCACCTGTTCCCGGAGTCCCCTAGTTCTAAATATAGCGTCAAGAAGCGGCCTTCATCAGGAGCTGACCGGAATAAGCTTTGCTAGACTTATCTAGCGTTTCCATATCAGACCTATGAAACAACCGACAGCCATAAAAGCAGCTATTAGTTGTAATAATAATAATGCCTTATTTTTCCTTAATTATTTATTTGTTAATATCTGATAATCGTCTCCTCCTTGCTTTTTATGCACATACTGCTGCATTAGCGCATAGGACTACGGCGTGATCTGTGGAGCTAATGCGCGTCTCTGAATGCGTTATTATGGTAAGCATAACTAACAAGCACGCTACCCGCACTGATTTAAATTTCAGCGTTGATAAATTATCACTATGGCATATTTTTGCCACGCTGTTTCATAAGTTCATTGAAGTAAAATCCAAATAGGTTTAGCAAGAACCTTAAGGGTGCCCAACAGCTTAAATACCAAATATTAACGATTCTTTTTTGGAAAGGAGCTACCAGGGGGCCAAATGTTAAAGAATTCTTTATGTAACACTCATATATTCAGTGAACGACATCGTAAAATGTGGATTTTAAGTGCTTTATTAAAGGCGTATATGTTTATTAATAATTGATCGAGGTTCAAGCTTTACATTTTTGAAAATATACGATTTAGTGTAGGATGAACGTTCACGTAATTTATAGGAATCTAGTTTTTTTTTACCATTAGGCGACTGACGAGATTCCATCGAGGGTGTTTAATTCTACGTCGGTTTCACGGAGGTCTAAGGGTGTGGCATTTTTCATTGATACGTTCAATATGCTTTTCAAACAGCCAAGCGGTCGGTTATAATATAATAATTCAATGTTGTTTCAAAACCGAAATGTTTTCACTTGATACAGAAAATAAACTATCTACTGTTTGCAGTTATAGGTAAATTTGTCACGGAAAGATATTAAAAAGGCTCAGCCTTCTTCTAGCAGTTATGAATCTAGTTGGCTCCATAATACATTGCGCATACGAAGGAAAATACGAAACAACGGCTTTGTTTGTTTGTTTGAAGTGTTTCTTATAAAACCAGGAGGCAAGAGTTCTTTTTCGCTATGGGTTGGGGAAAAATATTTGTCGATAGTCATATCGTTGATGACGGTTAATTGGGCTAATATGACCCCACCCACTACTGCTATTCGTCAGTACTCTGACATTTCCCTCAGTAGCAACCGGTTAATGTTGAATGGGAAACTACTTTTAGATATCGCAATTGAGATTATATTTTTACTAATTTTTTTACTTTTATGTGCTCAGTGTACTTCTGCTATACGTATATACATACCCCAACATATATATATATATATACCCAAGCAAGGGAACATGTTTTCATAGAGCGAAGAGTACAAAGATGAAAATGCATATCTGAGCTCCGGTTTCAGGGTGCCTGAACAAGTCAGGTGACGCCTTTCAAAGCAGATCCTTTTTCACAATGGACGCACGTCACTCGTCGGAGAAGTTAAATCTTTTATCGATTGGCTATTCCCTACCTATTCATATGTGTCAAAAAGGACAGATGATGGCTTCAAACTGCAAGTAAACCCGTATGCGTTGTCTTCGAAGATTATTGGAACCATGCTGTTGATGGATTGAGTGTCAAAATTCAAAGGAAGACCTGTTTATGTATGAAACTTCAAAACCGATAACATGTAAACTAACCTGGAATCACACAACTTAGCATTTTAGTTAAGAAGTATAGGTTCTAAAAATTGTTATTTCTAGTTCTCGGGTTCCCATTTTGGTTAGAAGTTTGTTCCTTATACTTTTTGCAAATCTAACCTGTTTAATCGGCAGCATGCTATACATATAGCCGAGATAGTACGTGTAGTTCGTTCTTGAAATAGTGGGGAGTACGCTATGACTTTATTGGTTCTTAATAAATAATAATCTAAATGACTTTTATCCGTTTAGACTCCTACCTGCCGCTAGCCCCACGACCCTCTGCCAAAAGTTTGTGACCTCTTTTCATTTGATGGCAGTCTACTCAGATGAACTACCCTCGTTCTTTATGCAATCAGTGATATTCAATAAGATTAAATTCTTTACAGAGGTCAATTTCCGCTAGTCACCGTAGGTACATGTAAATAGCAATCGCTAAATATAGGCACTGCGTATAACCTACAATACGACCTGTAACGAGCGTGAGACCGTGGCAAACGAAAACTCTGCGGTCCTCGGCCCGCAGGCGATGGCATTGTAGAATTATACAAATACCACATAGCTGTTTAGTAGTTTACATATAAACTGCCGGATCGGATACGGTGCTGGCGGTAGGACTTATTCATGAGAACGCCTTATAGGACCACTGCCTACTTTGCTGTCCTAGGTAGGTTGATATTAGTCTAGCAGGCATCAGCTGGTGCCCCAATAAGTATTAATGTACTCAGCAAAGTTCGTCGTAGCTATATGCTGAGTTTACCCAACCAGCCGTATTACTGATGCACTTAGACGAGGCAATCAAGCGGATTGCGCTCCTGTCAATATGAGCGACACCGTGAGCCTATAAACTTACGGTACCCTAGCGCCGGTTTCCAACAACAATACATGACATTTTAGCTTCATGTCATGTACGCCATACTCGCGCAAAGCTAGATGCACAGTTTAGAAAGCGGAGATTCGCCATTAGGTTTATCTATAGCAATGCCGGGCAGTGGTTCTGGACGTCGTACATGAAGTACTCAGTGTACAATTAGGGAAAAGTAAACAATACCGTTGAACTCAAGGTAAAAATCAAAAGGTAAACAACTACTCATATATAAATATCTGCTCAAATAACGACTGTTCGAATTGGAGCAGTCACTATAAATCGAAGCATATTAATGACTATTGTAAGTCGTGATGTTCATTCAAAATTCCGCAGCATCTCCTATCTTTACTAGGCCTCATTTCACGGGCCTTCAGTTTGTTCAGTTCTACCCATATTCTGACGCGTGTCGTTTTCTGGTGTGAGACTATTTTTAGAATCTAGTGGTGCCTAAAAGAAATCAGCTTATATATATTTTAATAAAATTTCTATATATAAATGTTCAATGTTGCAGCAAATCAATCAGACGGCAAGCGTACTTGCGAGCAAAAACAAACCCACCTAAGCACGGATGTCACCGAGCGTTACTCATTTAGCTTCGTTATTCTTGCTTTTGTCATAGAGACTGACTAGATGATAGAAGGTGAATTATATCTTATGAAACGAACAATGTTTAGGTGAACTTTGTCAATAAGTCAGTCACAGAGAAAAAAAAACTCAGCACCATTCAGAGAGTCCTGTAGTTTCAGAAACTAAGGATTGCCGATTCCATCTGTCTGAATAGACGATATATGGATCCGAGTTATGCCACCCATGTGAAAGGAGTCTACTATTTTTTTTTGTGCTCGAGTTCACCGAGCGCGCACATGGCTGTGTATTAGACTAGTCGACCCATTATAGAAAATACACCGAACATATAGCGACACCTAAGGTCAACGCTGAAAAGAAAAAGAAACCAACTAGTCACCAGTAATCTATGGAAATCACCAGTAATTACCAGTCGAGTCTAAACAGTGGCCAACTACCTATTCGGCTGGCCTTAGCCGAGCAGCAATTAGGCTTTTACGTCAATGATACGTCAAGTATGTCCGGGACTGGACTGAGAGGCTGTTGGAGTCAAGAAATCCGTGCTGGAACAGACAATATACTACCGTACAGGATAATTTGAATCACATACATCCACATGTGTACCCGCCAACACGTAAGCACATTAACAGCGATTGTGTGCTGCCAAGGCGCACAGAACTATAACTAAGGTTCGGCGCGCTAGGTTCATTACTGTGTACGCGGTCTCTACTGCTAGCAACATCTCTTTATGGTCTTCTTTTATAGACCTGCCTGTATTTACTTAGCCACTCGCACTTCTGTCCTAAATAATACTTTTTATGTAGACTAGTCTACTAAAACCGTTAATCATTCCCGAAAATCGTGATTAATCGTCAGTGCAACTACTAACGCCATGAATATTACGTAATGAACATATTCGAAAGAGGATCATCAGCATCCATTTTTCGGATGCAAGTTCAAACTAAGTATAAGTTAATTTTAATCTACCGCAACGCTTAGTTCAGTTATAAGCCCACTTTTGCTCTTCAGTGTACTACTATATGCGAGCCTTACTCTGTTGCGACCCACTCTTAGAATGAATGTGCGAGCATATCAGCAGTTGCGAATGCTTTCTAACCCCTATGAAAAATACATTGTCAAAAGAAGGATGTATTAAAGCGTTTGCAATGCAGCACTTCGTTAATCTTGTGGCAAACGTTGGCTGGCTGCCCCCCGTTCCAGGAAGGTAGATCAGTTGCGGAGCTCAACGCAACATACGGTTAGTTCTTCATTCGGTCACGCAACATCATTAGGTGTCAGCCTCATTAAGCGCAAACGGTCTCCTAAACAAACACATCTTATCATTGTACAGGTAATAACATATAGGAACGTGCCAGGTTAAACGAGCGATTTCTCGCTGGCTTGTTCGTTGAATCTGAAACTTAATACTATTTTCCGCCCATAAAAGTCGTCCAATGTAGATAAGCATACTCCCATTTTGTCGTGTGGTGATGAATTAACCCAGCAGCGCATGCAACATATCGTTCGCCGTACGTGGGCCAGGGTCGGGTTGCGTTTGCTGCTGATCTTTGTTCGTGTCCTGTCCCTGATATTGAGATCAAGAGAAACTCGAGATACTACTATACGGCCAGTCATTTCTACCGCTGTCTTGGACGTCTTCGAGATGCCACTAGGGGCGCGTCCCATCACAACCGGGATCCATAGGTTGGCTATCGATGAGGCAACTTGAGCTCTGTACACGTGTGCAATTAATCATTTTTGCCTTTTGTTTTGCAATACAGATATTGATGACTACATTGTTCACCCATATGTCCAATGTAGATAAACTTTCAACTATGGACTGACATATTTGGAACTTTCAAACCCATTAGCGATCACAGAAACGTCATCATAAAAACAAGAGGTAATTGTGTATGGTAGTAACTACTGAAACGTACTAAAATGATCTCATTACCTGAGAGAGTCAGTCTGAGCTAAGATTTTTTTGGTAGTACGGTATTATCGGCCCATTGTGATTTGATGCAACCGAACCCAGCAACGGCTTTGAATAAACGAATATTCTGCTATTTATTCCATTTGGTTTCAAAGCAAGCCACCAACTGTACGATATGTTCCTTGAGATAACGGACCTGTCCTAAGGGCTTTCGTCGGCGAACTTCCAGAGAGAATATTGACTCATTTACTTAGTCCGAGTTGGTACCACCGCCTGGTACATGAACGACACAGAGTAACTTTTGCCCACTCACGAAAAGATCATGCCGTAATCGAAGTTTAGAAAACTTCTTTAGGAACTATAATGTATAGCAAGCGACGTACACCAAGATCGTAGCAGAATTCTCTCTAGGGTGACCTATGAAACGAGACTGCGTGTTTTCAAAATGACTGTAAACGATTTAGGAAAAAAATAACGATTCGTTTGTTGAAACGTTAAATTAATGCTTACCGAGACTGGATGGTGGCGGCGTGGTTTTTCATTGCCTTCGCGGACCGTATTCACAGCACAGGCAGTCCTTTTTAGAAGTTTGTTGGCACCCATTGTTAATTGTATGGTTCGACCTACATGGCGTTTACAAAAGTCCCGTTGAACTCTTCGATTTTCAAAGATACACTCGTTTTGTGTTGAACTTTATTTGAGTATCATGTCGCATGACAACATAAAAATTCCATTTTACTTGAAGCGGCTTATTGTCTAATCCAGGTTTCACTACATTCGAGGAACACTACACGCCTATAAATTGTCATAATAACAGAATACAAGTGAAAGAAAACGGATAGTAGCCCTACAGCGTGCTGCCTCGTCTGACGGTGGTGAAAGATGTTGTTGCAGCTGACGCCATAATTCACTAGTCCTCAACGAACACAGGAAAACAGAGGTATATCCTAAGGACTAGAGGTAACACCCGCCGTAAGAATGACCACACGTCGTTTGCCGCAATAATGTTCGCTCATTTTGCTCATTCACTCTCTTTTTGTGTCGGCCACTGCCTCTTCGCCCCTGCTTCTTCAACCATGTGTCTCTCCATACAGATGCCACATATCACATCGACAAACCTCTTCCACTAGCTCTGCAACTGCCGCCATTGCCCAGGCGCCGCCATGTGGTTGCCTTTGGACGATGCGTGTCGATGATGGCAGGTGTATTGTCGTTTTGCCCCTGAAGGCCTCCGCGAGCTTACGCGTATTCGAGGAATTGCTGTATTTGTGTGCGCGCCTGGATGTTGGATGTGTATTACTATTTGGGGTGCTACTGTACCGTCGACGTCGCTGCTCCTGCTGTTGTCCCTCTTGACAGCGCCGTTCCTTAGACGTTGTTTATTTCCAGACGACGCCACGGTCGTTGCTGGCCGTTTGCAACACAACGTCGCGCGATGAGCCCTCTCCCAGAGCCGAAAAGATTCCCGCGTCACACCCAGCATTCTCGCCCGCCTTACTCTCTGCTATCGGAACACATGACAATCTCCTCTTTGTTGGCATCGGTTCTGTCTGTCGTCGTTTTCGGCGACTCCACCGGAGCGAATGACATATCGCTCTAACGCTCTTGGTAGACATAAGCTGAACTTTTATACACCCCACATTGAAGAAAGAAAAGAGCGACATCCACATACAGACACCTACGTATGGACACATCTGAACACGCACGGATAGACACCA